GACTGGGGAAAAACACGTTTTAGTCCATTTCAAATACAATTCCATTTAAAAGTGTGGGGTTGGTAAGATTTTTTGAAGTCTCTTTTGCTCACTAAGGCTTTATTTAATTTGTCAAGCACACAGTAAAAACAGTATATTGTGAAATAGTATTACTATAATACATGTTTTCTAGTGTTATATATTTTAAAATGTCATTTATTCCTGTGATGCAAAGCTGAATTTTTAGCATCATTACTCTTCAGTCTTCAGTGTCAAAAAACATTTCTGATTATTATCAAAGTCCAAAGTTGTTCTGCTGTTTCATATTTTTTTGCAGAAATAGTGATGCAATTTATTTTTCAGGATTCTTTGATTAATAGACGTTCAAAAGAACAGCATTTATTTGAAATCGAAATCTTTTGTAGCATTATAAATGTCTTCACTGCCACTTTTGATCAATTTAATGCATCCTTGCAGAATAAAAGTATTAATTTCTTTCACACAAAAAAAACAAGAAAACTTTTAAACAGTAGTCTACATACATAAATCAAGATATATTTATATTTTTAAAAACTGTGATACATTTTTTTCTACTATATTGCTTAGCCATATTAGCTAACAGTGCCGCAGGACCATAAAAGACAGAATGATGGACGTTAGAAAGGTTTATGCGATGTGCACTAACAGCCAGAGAATGAGAGAATTACAGAGGCAGTGAGTGTTTTTTTTCTGGCCGTCCCAGCGTGCATTGGGACCGTCCCATAAAATCAGGTTCAGTTTTAATGAGTTTCACCCTCTTTTATTCTCTGTCTATTATCATATTCTGTCTTCCTCTAATCCATGTTCTACATTTCTCATTCTGTCTTTGGTTGGTGTCTGAAGGCGGTTAGTCAGAGGAGCAGCGTTCATATCCTGACAGCCTGTTCGCTGCTGTTAAACTCATTTTACTCCTAAGGCTTGCAGCGTTTTTCTTCTGTATAAATGAGGTTATGAGTTGAGACTGTGAGAAAGAGCTCGGTGGTGTTTCATCTTCTCAAATGGGGGTGAAATAAAGCCCCGGACTCCAGAATCGCAAACTACGGTCCATTAGTCAGTGCAGCATCCATAAATGAAGGAGAAACACATTTGAACCGTATGATCGTGTCAGCGGCGTCTGCTTAATGATATTGTCCAGATACCAGGAGCACATTAAAGCAATAAGCCGACTGGACGTGATGTTGCTAGGCACAATGCCACTACATAAATGTATGAACAACAATAATAAATCATAAAATAATAATAATAATTAATTGTAAATAAACTAAATAAATTGAAAAAAAACTGACATTTTACAACAATTAAAGAAAAATATAAAAAAGTAACATAAAAATGATTGAAGCACATAATAGAATTACTAAAATTACTATTTTACAAAGTAAAGTAACAACTGAAAATAAAAAATGACTATTTCATCTCATTCAAAATACTATTATAGATAATTTTGTGTGTATTATTATTATTATTATTATTAATATTAATCATATTTATATCATATGCTATGGTCACTTTAGTTTGGGGACAAATTCTCACGATTAACTTAAATTTACAACTTGTTCCTCAATAAACTCCTCTAACTTGCTGCTTATTAATAGTTAGTAATGTAGTTGTTAAGTTTAGGTATAGGGAAGGACTAAGGGATTTAAAATATGGTCATGCAGTATAAATTATTAATATGTGCTTTATCAGTACTAATAAACAGCCAATATGCTAGTAATATGCATTCTAATAAGCAACTAGTTAATTGTGAGAATTGGTCCCTAAACTAAAGTGTTACCTATACTATTATAAACTATTATAATAGTATAGAAGTAATACTTAAAAGGCACAATATGTAAGATTTTTTTATTAAAATATCCAAAAACCACTAGAACAGTGTTATATATTTTGCTGACTTGTGTACTTGCATTATCCCAAATGTTTCGAAGAATGTTTAAATCCAGAGAAATAAGCAATTTTAATTAGTGACACGAACCGTGTCTACAGTGTCATTGTGTCGCCTGCCAATGACGTCATAACCCCTCAATTTCCGGTTTTGTTTTGTAGAAAACATGGAAAAACCAAAGACGCTTTAATATG